CCCCAAAACCCCAAAACCCCAAAACCCCAAAACCCCTGAAAAAACAATAACTATCTAGTAATAAAATTAATTAATTAAGGGGCTAATACAAATGGAGAACCCTGACCAAATCATTGATGAGAGCAGATTCAAAACAACTTTCACAGTATACCTTGATCTCCTTAAAACATCAGATGTAACCTTTGCAGAACCAGCATCAATCACTGCTGGGGAACTAGTAGAGAGAATACTGTGTAAATATCTCGAAGAAGGTAGACCTAAAGGAAAGAGGAAGGATTTCTCCCTCTATTTGATAAACAGTAAACACATTGAGGGCCACTTAAAATCTAAGAAAGCAATTAAAGATGTAAACTCTGAGGAAGGCAAGGAATTTTACAATAATATTGACTCAGTTTTCAAACTTCCGACAGTAATGAAGCGAAAACTTGATAGCAGGGACCTTCCGATCAAGATTCTGCAAAGAACTGAGCACAAGATGAAACATAAAGGTGTATCAATGTTCCAGTGGGATCTCTACTTTCTCTCTCATTCCACATCCGAAGCCACAAAGCGAGGTAATCTAGAGGAGAGAATTGATAAAGAAGGGGAATTCTTTAATGAACTCCTCACCAACATCACAGACAAGAGGTTCTTCTTCCATCGGAAAGGTCTCTGAAGTTTGCGTGAAGATAAGAATGAGAAATTCAGGGATATCACCCTAATCCTCACAGGTGGGCATCTGTATTATTTAGAGAAATAACAACAAGGACAGCCTAAACTTGATCCTGCTTTCTGAAGCATCAGCTTATGAGAACAAGGATAAATCATACTCCTTTGAGATCCGAACCAATGGGCGAAAATATGTCATTGCGTGAAAGTCCCAGCATGATAAAGATAATTGGGTAAATGCTATTCTTTTCCAAATTGAGCACACAAAGTGCAAACATGAAATAAACGACCTCGAAGGTCGAATACAGCAATTGTCCAAAGAAGCCTCAAGCAGCGAGTCAAAGAATCCTACTCGAAAGCAGTTCCTCACATATCTGGAAGAAATGGATGTTCGATATGGATCATTACTACGCGATACCATAAAATCAGTGCATAGTTACAAGCAAAGTTGAGTTGAACTTATTGAAACTCTTGAATTAGCTTCCAAAGGAGCTCACTTTACTCAACAAGAGCAGGATTCTCTTAGAACAAAGGTTGAGAAACAAGCAACAAGCATTCTTGGAGAAATATTTACATTACTCAAAAGAGCCAAGCTTTCAATCGCTAGTGGCAAAGATCTTGACAAAGATGATACCTTTTTCCAGGAAGACAAGGACCAAGATAATGATCTAATCGCAAGTCAAATTGCAAAACTCACTGAAAACGTGAGCACCATGGATTCAAAGACGAAGAGGAGGAAACATTTTGCCACGAACAAAAATCTCGACGCAATCAAGATTGAAGACATTAGTGCGAACCATACCTACAAAATAGGGGATTTCAAAGATATACCACTGAACCACCAAATAGTCTTATTGTGTCCCACCAGATCTTTCCTCTCAATGAACCAGAAGTTCTCCAAAATGAAGGAAATCAAGGAATATGATAAATACTTGTTCAAGCCACTAGAGGATAATGTGAACCTGATTTATCGAGCAAATTTCGAAGCTGGTAAGTACCGGCCTTAACCCATAGATTTTATGAAAACAATGATCTGGAATATGAACTTTAATAAGACAATTACTGATGCCAACCAGTATCTTTTTAGGATAAGATCTACTGATACCAACATATTCAAAAAGATCCTGCATTATAATAAGAGGAGTATTACTGAGTAAGGTCTGAATAACAAATGTAGAATCAACGAGAAAAAGAAGAGAACCTCCAATACCAGAAAGTTATCAAATGCTAAAGAAAGCTTGCTAAGAAATAACCAGTCATACAGGAGTAGACGCTTGGTCAGTGTAAGCACCAGCTTTACGGCAAATTCAAAAGAATTTGAAGAAATCATGAGGCAGAAGAATGAGAATAGAAGAGGTGCCTCTAGGAAAAACACCGCTATGAACTATTTCCCAAAGGGAGAAGATAATGGCACAATGATCTCTGCTATCCCTATCAAGGAAACTGTGTCTGAAGACTCAGATCCTGAAGAGGAGAAAATAGACACGACGACACACCGCTTCAGAAGGACCTCCAGTGAGATCGTTGATTCATGAGGAATGTAGCTTTCACAGCCTGTTTTCTTTTAATTTATTTCAATTCTTAATTGAAGGCAAGGGGTTTTGGGGTTTTGGGGTTTTGGGGTTTTGGGGTTTTGGGG